ATCCCCAGCTGTTTTTGACGTCAGAAGCATTTAATTAAGCTTTAAATAAAACTCTTATTCCCCCTTCTTTCTTTTTCCCTCCATTCAAATTCCATTCGTTTTTTATTCTATTGTATAGATTTCATTGTTTTTTTTTCCTTGTTTCTTTTTCTGACCTCTGCCTAAAATTGTTCTAACCAGTTCAGTTTGAAACATATGATTTGCATAGTAAATGCGAGACGATGCTGCACATGGCTGTCCTGTGGGTTTTCTTTCCCTCCCCAGACTGAGAAGGGAGCTCACTGGTTAGACACCTACAAAATGTGAGTTTAGCTGCAAATAACTTGAAAGGACTGGCCGTAAACTATCAGGATTGCTGGTTTCTGGGGTTTTTCTGAGATGAGTTGAAGCTGACAAAAGTATAAATTCTCCATTAAGATGGAGGAAAAAAAGATATGCATGTTTAAATGTTTTTTGTTTTAATTCCCCGTCTTGTAAAAATTAGGGATGGACATGCAGGTAAAATTACTAGTTGAATTTTGTGACCAACAGAAAAACATGGAGTATGGATCAAAATATTTTTCTTTCCTTGTAAAATGACAGACTACACATTGCTGCAGAAGGATAACGAAACACATAAAAAATAAATAGCTTGAATAAATTTAAACTAAAACCAGAGTGTGTGTCATGGTGGGCATTCGTGCATCCCTCCAAATGAGCTATTCTGCCATCCCCAGCCCCACCCGCCAATGACACCCTCTTTCATTTATTTTACTTAAGTTCACTCAGAAAACAGATTTGTTCTGGCAATGGCACTGATTGAAATTGAAACCAAATTGAAGAGATTTTAAATACAGTTGCATACAATAACGTTTAATAGCCTGTGCCTTGGGCAGTTATGACGAATGCCGATTTCTTTATTTTTGATGACACGCTCCTATACATCTCTGGCTGATTGGCCACTACATAAATTCCGGACAATATGCGGAGACAACTCATTGGTGCAGAATGGTAACGTAAGGCACTAAAAGTGACCTAAAACCTAGGGATAGACAATATTGGAAAAAGTCGCATTGCGATATTTGAAATCTTTGTGATGAATATTATATTTGTAAAACAAAAAAGGAGCTAAAAATTAACCCAAAATAAACTATAGTCAAAAGGACCCTGTTATTATCTACCAATACCTCTTTACTAGGAAAGGCATCAGTGCTTCGCATTCTAGTTAATTCACTACTAACAGTACACATATTAAAAAAAAATAGAATGCATTTCACTGAATATGAATTTCAAGAACATTTTAACAACAACCAAGAAAACTTACATGTAGGTCTACATATAAAATTAAGAGCATAATCAGATTCTCATATTTGTTGCCGCAAGTTGTGCCAGAAAATGCTGGCAAATCATTTGCTTTTGCGCGATATCTCTGTGGAATCCCAAATATTTCTGTGCAGTGGAAGACGTCTTCTGGCGATCAGTTCTAGTTCAGTTGTTGGCCTGACGTAAATTTCGCATATATGCGCCACTTTACAAATAGGCGAGGATGAAAATGATTATGATTGGCTCGAAGAGCGCATGCAGAGCTCACGCAAAACAGCGGAGAACGAAAAAACTTAGAGAACGGATAAATCACAACTAATTATATTGCTGCTGAGTAACATTTAAAAGAGCTAATTACTCAATTTTAAGTTTTTTTTTTCTTCTTCAATTGTATACATGTTTTGGAATATCCAACAATGCAGCCACATCCCTAATAAGAATGTTGGAGCTCACACTTAAATTAGGGAATACGATGAACAAATATGCATAATTCGAAGTGTCATTATTTTTATTCATCACTGTTGCATGTATTTCCTGCCCAGTCCAGAGAATGTGTCTTCTGAGCGACACAAGAATCGTTTCAACTTCCGTTTAGCTAAAGAGGCATCTCTTCACGGCGTCTGAAACTCCATCACTTTCTGCACTTTGGGATCAGTGCAGGGCTGTGGGAAATGGACGGGACCGTGTAAGTCAGAGTGCACTGAAACACATATTGTTGACACAGCACAGATAGCAGGGTTATGCATTACACAAAAACATGTTTACTTTTAAGTAGTGACCAATACCAGTGATCAGTAGAGCAAAGGGCCTGTCAGATGGGAAGGCAAGTTTCCAAAAATAAATAAATGTAGAAATATCATAAACACTGTAAAAATAAATACAAGGCTGAACAGATTAATTCAACGAAGCAAAAGCTAAAAACTAACATTAACATGAAGGTGGGTGGATTGCTGAGAATACAATTGTAGGGTATTGAGAGCAAATCTGAATAAACGTAGTAAAATGGATGTTCAGCTCTTCTGACGGGTCAGTCGCGTTTGGTTTCTTAGCTTGCCTAAGATTAAAACATAGGCCTTATGGGTTTTTTTTAGGAACCACCAACGCTGTATTATATATGACTGGTCTTATTTGTGCAAACTAAAATTACGATATACGACATAAAAACATTTCATGATGGTTGTGCTGCTCGAGGTTCTGACGTCAATTTGTCATTTGCTTCACCAATGAGTGCCTGTCAGTTGTTGTTTTAATATTGTAATAGCAGTATTATTATTATTACTCTTAGTGAGTCATACTACGGCCCCCCCCCCCCCCCCCCATATACAACATATAGCCTTTCTGGCAAAATGGTTCTGGTGCCAGGGCTGGTAAGCATTGGGAAGCCATCTGGTTATTACAATAATCATAATCCATAATCTTTGGTCCAGCCAATGTGCGGGTACTTTGACATGTGACACCTATCACCTGGCAGACCACATACACCAGTTCATACCAATAGTATTCCCCGATAGCAGTGGCACAAATCAACGGAATAATGCACCTATCTCCCTTTCATGAACTGTTCAGGAATGGTTTGCAGAATGTGACGTAGAGTTCAAGGTATTGCCAAATTACCCAGATCTGAATCTCATCAAGCATCTCTGGAATGTGCTGGAACAGCAAATCTGGTGCATGGTGACCCCATTTCACAACCTAGGGGACTCAAAGGATCTGTTAAAGTTGGTACATACTTCTCAGCACGCGTACTACGGATGTGTCTGCTCAAACATGTATGACCTGTTTGACGTCATTGTGCACCTTCGGGGATGAACACCTGCTGCACTTCCAAATTTGAGTCTGCGCAGTGGAGTACGCACAGCTCTGGACACACTGCGCATGATTGATTCGCTAGCATCCACTTTAAACACCAACATTGTTACACAAACCCTACAGACTATTTGCAAGGTCATAAAACCTGAGCCGCTTCGCGGTTGCTTCTGTAATACAAACCTTCAGAGGAAAATCGGTAGGTGTTTTACATACTGTTCTCTACTGTAATTTTAGAGAATCGTACTCTGAGATGTTACAACACATACTGTAGCTGTTTGCTCTATTGCACTACAGTCAGTACTCGAGTTGAGGGGGGATGAGGAGGGATGTCATCCCCCCTGAAATAAAAACAGTCAAGATCATCCCCCTTCTAAAACTAACATCCCCCCATTCCATCCCTTGTGCTATTTTATCAATGAATGCACAGGTCTATTGAGTAAAATACCGTGAACGAGAGGGCACGCGCGTGCAAACTTTACGAGGATGAAATGGGCTTGCCCATTTTGAAAGAAATTCTCCTCTTGCAATGTGTACTCCATTGTGGTTCTGGAGAGAATCTTTGAGGTTGAAGGCCGACCTGTTCCTCATGAGCTCTATTGATGAGGCAGGATTTCACATAACAAAAAAGGAGAGGAACAAAACTGGCCTTCAGGCTATTGTGAATGTCTCTGGCCAGAGAGGAAGGAATGTCACTATGTGTGCGGCCATCAACCACTGAGGTGTCTTCCACCGCCATGTCGTCCTTGGTCCTTATAAACACCACACTGCTTCATGCTTTCCTTGAAGGTCTAAGAGACCATGTATACCAGCTAGACCAGAGGGAGCAAGCACCAACAGAGCAGTCTCACTACATTGTCATTTGGGATGCTCTGGTTCGTGACTGGTTCCCCAGTGACCCAAGATTTTCCAACATCTTTTTTACAAGGTTTACGACCGAGACCCCGACATCCACATTCACCTCCTCGAGATCATAGAAGGCCTGTTTAGACATTTCAGTTGAGGCTTGTCAGTGGTGGATCCCCCACTGCCTGGCTAGGGCTAAAATAGCCTGTGAGATTCTTTGGCTTGACCCAGACCAGAGACTGGATGCTTTGGCAGAATAATATGGATTATTTGCAAAGAGTCTTATTCAAATCTTAAAATTTGGATTATGTAAATTAGGATTTTGCTATTTTGTTCATTTAATCTTTGCAAGCCCCTGGAGGATGGGCTCACCTTTTGAGTCTGGATCCTCCCAAGGTTTCTTCCTTCTAGGGCGTTGTTCCTTGCCACTGTCACCTCTGGCTTTCTCTCCAGAGCCTTTGGCCAGGGGTAATGTAAGTAATGTTGTGAAAATGCTCTATACCTGGGGTCTCCAACTCCGGTCCTGGAGAGCTACTGTCCAGTAGGTTTTCTATCATACCCGGCATCTGATGAGCCACACCTGTTCTCAGGTAAATGCCAGGAGCAGGTGTGGCTCATCAGAAGCCAAGTGGGATAGAAAACCTACTGGATAGTAGCTCTCCAGGACCGGAGTTGGAGACCCTTGCTCTATACAAATCAAACTGAACTGAAACTTCGATATTATAATAGGTAACCTGGGAAATATTTCATTTATCCTTGTGGTATCTAGATAAACATTTGCTTGACCTTTGTTTAATTACTTTCTTGTCTTTGTTGATTTGCCTGGCACCTCACATCGATTCCGATCAAATTTGTGGGTAAAAATGTTGAGAAACCCTATGTTACATCATCCTGTGTGGTTTGAGATTCCCCGGCAAGTGAAGGACTCTGAACTGAATTGTATCCCCTGGTTACAGTTTAACAGATTTTCAGTCATTAATAGTAAAAGTTGTGTTTCTTATGTGCTTGTTTTTAAAGAAGTAATGTCATTTCTGGTCCATGGAAGAAGAGCAATGGGTCCAGCATACAGCTTGGTCATCCTTCTCATCTTCAGCTTTGGCTGGGTCTGTCTGGGACAACCACTGTAAGATCTTTAATCTGTCATACATCCCCACTCTGTGTAACAGGCTGTTCATTTGGGTTTTTGGGGTGTTCCTGCCTGCCTGACAGGCTTGTCTTTTGGGACTGGGCAGGTTTTCTGATGTCCACATGGGCTTGCTTAGATGTTTGGAGATATGTGGCGTTAGGTGTGTGTAGTGGTGTGCAGCGTTTGTAACATCCACCCCTGTTACGTTGCAGCTATGTGATGATAGCCCCAAATATCCTCCACCTTGATAATGATGAGAGTGTCTACCTGGAAGCTCATGGCGCAAATGGGAATGTTCCGGTGACTATTCAAATATACGACTTTCCACTGAAACACAGAGTGTTCTTTTACGGAACGCTGAACCTCGACAATAACAACAATCACCAGGCTATTTTTAAAGTAAAGGTGAGTCTTTCCAAGTCTGTTACAGTCTGACTGTGATATGCCTGCCTACCCCTATCTGGAAAAACAGCAGAGTGTCTGGTGGAGATTTCAAACCCAAATGATATGAGATGTTTGCTCTATTCCCTTCATCTAATGCATCATTTTCTAACACTGGGTGCCTCAGAATTTGTCCAAAGAATTCTCTGATCTGCTATGGTCCAGTTTTTCCGAAGTCAGACCTTGTCTTTTCATCTACAATACTGGATATTGGTTTTGTGGTGTTCAGAATTCTGTACAAGGTAGTCATGACTCATTCTATCAGCCTTTTGTTCACAAAGTGTCAAATCCCCGTTTTTCTGTTTACAAATTGTTGAACCCCTTTAGATCTGTTACCTTACAGTGTCGAATTGCCTTGGATCTGTTTTAGTTTCTTAAAGGAAAAAGCCTACACATGATTAATCCTACTGGTTTGTTTGTTTTTTTATTTTATAATTGCCAAAAGGTGTTGTGTGCTAATTTTGGGGTCAGATATACAATGAGATTAATTTAGTAATCCTAACCAAAACTTCATGCCAAATCTGACTTACTTTTAAAACCAGCAGCAGCTGGACTATGTTAAAATAAATCAGTCATGTTGAATTCTTTTGGAACGGTCTCAAACAAAAATTGGCAAGACTTATGTACTTACATTTACTAATATACACATACTGTATAACTATTTAACAAATATTGATTGAGCATGCTAGATTGAAGGCTGTATTACAAATGACATCCATTACAAATGGGCAGTGGTAGCTTAATGGTTAGGGAAGTGCACTTGTAATCGAAAGATTGTAGGTTTGAATCCCTGACCAGACAGGCACCACTAAGGTACTTTGAGCAAGGTACTGCCCCCAAGCACTACTCCCTAGGTGCTGAATTAGCTGCCCCCTTATATGTTAAATATAGAGAACACATTTTGTTGTGGTGTGTCAACAATGACAATTGATCACTAAAATTCAATTCAAAATTCATATTTTATTCTCTCACTGAATTTTCTACTCCTTAAAATGAAAACGAAAACATAGTTCAGAATTAATTTCCTTTATTTGGTGCTTAGAGATGATTCTATACTAAATCCTGGCTATACCCTTGTTTCTTTAAAAAACCGATGTCAAAGGAGTTAGCCCATCCTAGGTGTGCTCCATAATGGATTACAGATATTTGAATTGCAGAAAAAAATACTGATGAATTGACCTTGGTGCCCTTTTAGAAATTAAAACAGTGATGCTTAGTGGCTCTGTAATGTAGTGTCTCCCATCCCGGTCCTCGGGATTTCACAGATGATCCACATTTTCGCTCCCTCCCAGTTCCCGGTCCTCGGGATTTCACAGATGGTCCACATTTTCGCTCCCTCCCAGTTCCCGGTAGGAGCAAAAACATGAGCTGTCTGTGGGCCCCTGAGGACCTGATTGGGAAACAGGGCGGTAATGGAGCAGTGTGCAAAGGAGCACCATTAAAGAGCCATTTTGAAGGGCCTGATTGAGTTGCTCTACTCCACCATTGGCCTGCAGGCAATTAAACGATGTGACGGATGCAAGACCTTTTTTGGTCATGCTGCAAACGGCTAAGTTTGCCAGAGTGCTGGCACTGTTGCCCATGAGCAAAGCACCTCTGGGCTCAGGTAACCTCACCACTGCTCTTGCGGTCAGGACCACAAACTTTCCTCAGTTGTCACTTTCGACAAAAGCATCCACAAAATAAATATAATGTATTATTAAACCAGTTCTCAGCAAAAGCTTGTCTGAGTCATTTTACTGACTTTAATTTGCTGTTCTGACTCTGCGGTGTACAGCTGATGTAATGCGTAAGCATAGTGCTTTCTGGCTGTAACTGTCACTGATCTCTGTTGTCTCTCTCAATGCCAGGTGCCCAGAGAAAAATTAAAAAGAGACCTCACTGCAAATCAGTATGTGTATTTGACAGCAAGAGTTACGGGCCAGGAGATGCAAGCAGTCATACTGGTGTCTTTCCAGTCTGGTTATCTCTTCTTACAGACAGATAAACCAATATACAATCCTGGAGATAATGGTAGGTCATTTGACGTTGGTGTTTCTAAGCTCTCTGATAGGCTGAAGGCTGCTCACCTGACAGCCCATACAAAAAAAATGCTGCTTGGCCTATTCAGCCTCATTCCTGCTCCCTGTGGTATTGGAAGGACTTTGACATTTGGGGGGGGGGGGGGGGGGGGACAAATTTCCACCCCTATCCCCAGTGCTCTGAGCGGGACCTGACGTCTCTCTAGCCAAAGTGTCATTTCTTCCATTCTGTGTCATTTTATCTGTTAAAACAGCTTCTTACCATAATTATTCAGTTATTAGTTTTACATACTTTTCCTTTTGTATGATTGACATTTATGTTTTCTGTTTCAGTAAAATATAGGATTTTTATGACTGATACACAGGTCAAAGCTGTCGACCGTATATTGACAGTCCAAGTCAAGGTGAGTTGCGGGGGTTGAGCGGCAAACCTTGGCACCTTGGCACTCGGGGACCCACAGACAATCCATGTTTTGCTCTGTCCTCCAGCTCCCGGGCATTTTCCCAGTGAGCCAGTGGGTTTGTGATCTGGGGCCAATTTTTAATCCCATTCTAGCCCAGGGCTTCAGAAGCTTTAAAATATTAATAATAAAATGTTAAATACTCCTCATTACCCTTTTAAAAATGCCATTTAGCTAAAATGATTAGTTTTTCTTTAATTGCCATTAATAATATCTTGAACTTGTGTTGTCTATTTAGAGGACTTTAATAGGCTATATGATGTACACTGTAGGGTTCTCTAAAGATCCGACACCTAAAATAGCTCTATAACTTTCAATTTATCCCTAGATATACAATTATTGAAACTAAAATATATAAAAACTAGACAGATAATAGACCCACCCCACATCCGCCGCTTATCCGGGGGCGGGTCGCGGGGGCCGCGGTCTAAGCAGGGATCCCCAGACCTCCCTCTCATCAGCCAGCTCTTCTGGGGGATACCAAGGCATTGCCGAGTGATGTAATCTGTCCCGCGTGTCATGGGTCTGCCCCGGGGCCTCCTCCCCGTTGGACATCCCCGAAACACCTCCCCAGGGAACCGTCCAGGAGGTGTCCTAGATAGATAGAGAACCACCTCAACTGGCTCCTTTCGATGCGGAGGAGCAGCAGCTCTGCTTTGAGCTCCTTCCAAATGTCCGAGCTCCTCACCCTATATCTAAGGCTGAGCCCAGACACCCTGCAGAGGAAACTCATTTCGGCCGCTTGTATCCACAATCTCATTCTTATGGTCACTACCCAGAGCTCGTGACCATAGGTGAGCGTAAGAACGTAGATCGACTGGTGAATCGATAGCGTGACCTTTCAGCTCAGCTCTATGTTCACCACAATAGAACGGAACAGCATCAATATTATTGGTGATGCTGCACTAATCTGCCTGTCAGTCTCCTGATCTCTTCTGCCCTCACTAGCGAACAACTAAATATAACCGTATCTTTAAAATAAAAAAATAAAACCACATTTAAATCTACCCAATGCAAAACCCGAATCACAAATGAAAACTGAAAATTAAAAATCTAAACTGAATAAACTAATGAGACTGCTGTGCGCTCTTATATATGAAACAACTTGAAAATCAGAATCAGTTCTTTTTATTGTCTTTGCTTACAGAATCCAGAGGGGATTATAGTGGAGCAGAGACCTGATGTGAATGCGGTCAATGGGGTCTTCAGTGAAGTTTATATGGTCCCTGAGGTCATTAAGTAAGTGTTGTTGTGTGTATCCAGATGTTTGCTCCAGAACAGCCAGCTGACATCCCGATTGGTGGACTATGTTAAAATAAATCAGTCATGTTGAATTCTTTTGGAACGGTCTCAAACAAAAATTGGCAAGACTTATGTACTTACATTTACTAATATACACATACTGTATAACTGTTGGTGGACACACTGGTAGAGATTTCTGTGCTCTGTAACATTTCTCCACAGGGAGGGGACCTGGACCTTGGAGGCCATGCTGAAGGACCACCCAGAGGATGTGTTCTCCACTCAGTTTGATGTGAAAAAGCATGGTGAGACACCAGTGAAGACCTAAGGTCAGGCTTCCCCGTCTTCTTTACAGAGTTTGCCTTTAATGACTCTTTATTTTGTTTTCAGTGTTGCCAACGTTTGAGGTGACATTAAAACCAAGTAAAAACTTTTTCCATGTGGATGATAAATCTC